CATTGTACATTTGCTGTTATGTTAAACTTATATTAATGTTTTTCTTCATTACCCATTCAAGCCGTCTCCAACCATCATTAATGTATTTGAGTAACTAACATTTTTAACACTTGCCTTCTTTTTTGCAGAGACTTTTCTTTATCATCCTCAGTTGGAGAATCACTCTCTGCAATACAGAGGTCTTCTTTGGGCACAAGGATTGGTGTAGATGTTTCTTTGTGATAAGCCTGTGAAGAACTATTCAGTTGAGACCTTTCATTCAGTGCTGGGGGCAGGAGAGACATAACATCTGGTGTCCTAGACTCTACTACTTCTGAAGAATCTGAAGCATTCTCGATGTGATGTTCCTATTTAGACAATTCAATAACAATATGTAAACAACTTTTACAAGATATAAAAAAATTCTCTGTACATAATCAACTTATTATTATTTTATCCTTAAATACCTGATCTGTTCCCTCTAATACTACTTTCACGCTGATCTGTTCACTTCTTTTACCTTTATCATTCTCTTTGTGTATTCTAGTCTTTCACCCTTAACACTTACCTCAACAATATGGATATTGTATCTGGTATTAAATTTCTTTGTTTTATGTATTTTTGCATGACCATCCATTATTTATCTTACCCCTTACTATCACTTTTTATTTTTCGTCCATCTATACCACACTTCCCTTGACAGTGTTTTACCTCATTTACCATGTCATTTTTGTCATCTGTTCTATTTCTATATCTTTATCACCCTTTCTTGCAAATATCTTCTATTTCTTTTACAGTTTTTTTCTTGACTATCTGTTCTGCTTTCTTTCACACCACCCTTTCCTTGACTATACATTAAAAAGCTAAATAAGTTAATAATAAGAAAAAATTACTATTTCAAAAGTTGAAAAACTTTACCACACTTTTATAAATTCTTAAAAGTTCTTTATATGTAGCTATACAAAGAATATTTAAGTTATATACTATAATAGTGAATGTATTTGGTTTTTTTGTGTTCTTTTATGTAAATGGGTGACCAGCTGGTGTGGGATTTTGCAAAGGTCTTTGGATAAGAAGACCAAGTAGACTTAGTGCATACTACTTATTACTGTTGGTATAAATGAGAATAAATAACAGTTAATGATTCGTGAAATTATGATAAATACAACCTTGAGGCTGGCTTGAAACTAACAAAATTTGTTTTTTCTGTGTCTCCTACAATTATATGCTTGGTAAATTTTTTTTTCTTTCTTTTTAACCTTCTTTAACTATCTGTTTATTTAATAACCTTACCATTCTTTCCTTAACTATTTGTTCAATTTCTGATGCCAGGTCTGCTGAGCTTGAACCATCAGTAGTTTGAAGTGAAAGGTTTGAACGCTGAGGGTAAAATATGTTAAATTAGTTTTAAAACCCTAAAGGTTTTTATTATATCTAATTGAATTTAGGAGCTAAATAAGCAAGTACAAAACAAGAAGATATCTGAAACCCAAGAAATGGTGCTGTAAAGTTTTTATATTATTTACAGATGATACCAACAATAATAAAATATAAATAAAAGAAAGGTGTCTACACTTAAAAAAAAAATTCAATGTCAAAAAATGACCATATTTCAGTATTATGAGTCTTATACACAAAGTTTTAAATGTCTTCCAGTAGATGTACATGATACATTGTATATTTTCTATATAAACACACATATATTCCAAAATAAACTTGTAGATATTAAATGTGAAACAGGTAAGCTATAAAAATGGATACCTAATAAGTACTTTTACAGAATTCATTATATTTGCCAGTTATTTCCACCGGGATATTCAGAAAAATAATAAGTTTAACGTAGCTAACATATTCTTTTCTTTGTCTTCACTTGAAGAAGATAAAAATGAAATAATAAAACATAGGTTGAGTACTTTATATTGACCCTATGTGCTTGGGTTGGTCTACTGAACCTATGCCATATTGGAGAACTAATGTTTATTATAATTCTGAATTTATTGTGCACATCTTCAGGAAATTTGGCAAGCTTTTAGTAAACATGAAAAGTCTGTTGTACAGTAAAAAAAATCAGAATTTTTAATAAAGTATTTCTAATAAAGATTTGTCCATGAATTTACTGAGTCAGTCTGGCTCAGAATCTGACTAGTCTGAGTGCAAGGTGATTTTCATGTTAAGAATAAAAGTACTTCTTTACCAGGTTCATAGTTCATTTTAATAACCTCAAGAACCTCATATATAAGTATCAAAAGTTTATTTTTGGCAAAACTTTATATTTTATTTGCACCCTAACACTAACTGCAGCAAAATCATATCATGATCAACGTACAGTGAAAATATGAAATAAAATGAACGATTTCTTTTCTTCTTCTTTTGATGCATAATTTCCTTTGTTTCATGTACTTCATATCTTCAAAGTTTCGATTGTTGACCTTTTTACATATATTTTCTGTAAATATATGGTTTTATTGTTATGCTTAGTGCCTACTTGTGCACTTATCCCCCCCCCATCAAAAACAATAAAAATAGTTGAAGGTAATTATCTATTGGCTATAAACACCATGAGCAAAGCACATGACCCACATGATCTTTGAGAGTGCAAACCATAGCTGAGCTAGGCCTCACTTCTCTCACTAAGTTAGTTCTTCAAATAATTCCTGGATATTTCAAATACACATTTTAGGATTCAAAACATATCACATATATGGCAATAGAATATCCGAAAACAACTGTATTTAAAAACACGATCAAAAAATGAATGAAACTGAGGCCAAGTATCTAATTATGAACACCAAAACAAACCAGCTTGCTAACAATCCTTGTAACAAACAATTTACTTCTTTCTATTTGTCATAAAATCTATTTTTTGAAAGACAGGACGAAATAGGAGAAGTAGCATTTGGGTTTGACTTTTGTTTTTATATCTCAGTAAAGTAAAAAGCTTGGAGGTTAGAATTTATATTCTTGCTTCCATTGCCTGTAGTATAGATGTGTAACTAGTGAGAAACTTAGACACAAAAATGGGCAATTATGACAACAAATGCTCCATATGATATACCAAAGAATGAGAATTTGTTTAAATATTTTCTTCTGAAATTAATACTTAACTAATATAAAACTTTGAATTGTAAATTACGTTTTGATGTCAAGTTCTTTTACATTAATTGATAATAAAGTTGTTTAATCAAATTTTGAATATAACTCTGTAAAAAGGTTGTGACATGTAGACTTTGACCCTCCTGTATAGGGTTAAGTTGATTTTGGAGCCTGACTACCTTGTCTTGCTCTATTTGATAAATGTACATCTGGACAATGACACTGCTGCATAATTTCCATTGAAAAAGGCTCCACTGTAAAGGTGTGATGTCTAAAGCATGCCCCTCCTCCCTGCAAGCTTTCCATTAGCCATCATGTGTACAAGGAAGTGGTTTTTCAGTTCCCATTTTAACAATTCAATCCCAAAGAAATTCATAGATAATGCATGGAACATCATGAATACTTGTTTCGTTCTCGAGTTGTTTGAACAGATATGTTATGGAAGCAACTCACGTAAATTTTCCCAGATGGAGATCCTTCTTGTTTATGTGACTTACTGTTACCTTAGGCACCATGGTCAGCTTCTGTCACTGACATTTGTGTTTGTGGATTTTCACTTGTTACAAGATGTGCACCTGCACTTTGCTTACCACGGCTGGGGTTGGACTCATTGCAGGTCTCTTTGTGGATAGTTCTGGTGACCTAAGTTTATCCATATTCCCATGTTTTCCAATGGCATTAAATACAAGGGGTATCCTTACCTTGGAAATTCTGAATCCCTAATCTGAAAACATTTTTATGATGCTAGTGTATAAACATTTTGTGTCAGAAAGGGCTATTACATACCTTTCTCAAAAATCCAAATAATGCAATTCTGATACATGCCAATGCAACTTTATATTGGCTGTGGTTGTCATATGACTTGCTGATGTGCATACGCAAAATCATTTTAATTGAATGTACTCTACTGTCTGCATTAGATTTAAATTGTCCTAAATTTATGTTCTGTCAATATCGACACCAGAAGGAAAAAAATCCTTTTAAAGTTACTTTACACATAATATCCTGTGTCTTTGATCATGTGATAAATGTATACAAGTTTAAGTGTTAGCTACCATAAAGTTATGGTTTAGTACGATCTTTCTCTGAAGAGATCGAAGAAGGCACAAAGGATAGAGCATGGTTGTAATTACATTTATATGTTTTATGTCTTAGTAGAGAGAGTAGATAAAAGTATGACTGTCTTTAAGTTTACTATTCTGGAGGAAAATAAGAGTAAAAGATGGAGAGGGATAAGGTGATACAAGAGAGTAAGTTTGGTTATCTTTAAGCTGTTTTGTCTCTATTTTCCTCAGAGAAGAATGTAGAAGACACAATGACAAAAGTGTTAATGTCTTTAAATTTTCTGTTTTGTCTCTAATATCCTAGAAAGTAAGCAAGAATAGAAGTATGATTTTCTTTATGTTGACCATTTTGTTTGAAGTGAGAATAGAAGGCACAAAAACAAGTGTTATTGTATTTAAGTTTACTGTTTTGTTTCTAATATTTTAAAGAGTAGGTAAAGGTATGACTGTCTTTAGGTTAACAGTATGTTTTTTAACTCTTTCTAAAGACAGAGTAGAAAATATGAGGACAAAGGTGTTATTGCATTTCAATTTATTGTTTTGTCTGTCTTCCTATGAAGAAAGAGAGGAGGTAGATAGGTAAAAGAGCAATTATCATTGTACTTTCCCCTGAAGGAGAAGGTACAAGCAACAATGTGTGGTTGTTTTTTATCTAAATATATTTTACTCTGAAGAGAGTGGGTAAGAGTAAAGTTTGATATATCTACATTTTCCTCTGAAGAAAGTGAAAATATTCTCGTTATTTAGCTTACAATCTGATCTTGCAAAAAAACAACAAAAGACAGCATAGAAGGATCTTTAACTTACTGTTTTCACTGTATCCCCCTCACAAGAAAGAGGAGGAGGTACAGGGGTGAAAGTGTGATCTTGAATCTTCATAGGAGGTGGAAGTTCCACATCACAGACTTCTTCCTCTGTGGAGGCACCACCATTTAAATCAAGGGACTTAAATCCCTGAGTTAGGTGAGATTCTATGGGAGATGGTTTCTAAATGAAAAATAAAAAATATTCTTACGAGCCAACTCATCATAGACTCAGATACACTATCTGATTTAGTCTTGCTTACAAGTTGGAGGTTATTTTTTAAAGTAATGAAACAATTAAAATTAAAGACAAAAATAAACATCTATATAAATAATAATCAACTTCCGTTTGTCTGTCCAGAACTTTTCTTCCAAGTTTCTCGATCAAATGCTACAAATCTCATATCCTAAGAAAGGCCTACAGAATAAACATCATGTGAAAAACTTTACATAAAACAATGTGCTCAGTGCTACACATGTCTATGTAATAAACCAATTAAACTTCATTTAAATGATTTACATGAGACAAAACATGAAGCACTACAGGTTACTATATAATAAAACTTGATGTGAAAGGTTTGTAGGAGTCAAAAAGTGAATTAACAAATGTTACTATACAATAAAACTTGATGTGATAGGTTTCTAGGAGTCAAAAAGTGAATTAACAAATGTTACTACATAATAAAACTTGATGTGATAGGTTTGTAGGAGTCAAAAATGATATAACAATGTTACTACATAATAAAACTTGATGCAAAAAGTTTGTACGAGTCAAAAATGATATAACAATGTTACTATACAATAAAACTTGATGTGATAGGTTTGTAGGAGTCAAAAATGATATAACAATGTTACTACGTAATAAAACTTGATGTGATAGGTTTGTAGGAGTCAAAAAGTGAATTAACAAATGTTACTACATAATAAAACTTGATGTGATAGGTTTGTAGGAGTCAAAAATGATATAACAATGTTACTACATAATAAAACTTGATGCAAAAGGTTTGTAGGAGTCAAAAATGATATAACAATGTTACTACATAATAAAACTTGATGCAAAAGGTTTGTAGGAGTCAAAAATGATATATCAATGTTACTACATAATAAAAGTTGATGTGATAAGTTTGTAGGAGTCAAAAATGATATAACAATGTTACTAATAAAAGTTGATGTGATAGGTTTGGAGGAGTCAAAAATGATATAACAATGTTACTACATAATAAAACTTGATGCAAAAGGTTTGTAGGAGTCAAAAATGATATAACAATGTTACTACATAATAAAACTTGATGCAAAAGGTTTGTACGAGTCAAAAAAAGAAAAGCAATGTTACTTCATACAAAACTTGACATGAAGGACTTGTATGAGTCAAAATGTCAAAGAACAATGTTACTTTATAATAAAACTTGATATGAAAGGTTTGTAGGAGTCAATAAGTGATGTGGTAGAGGTTTCTAGAAAAAGAAATTATGAAATAGTTGGTTCCTTGAATTGTAGGTGTGAGGTGTCAGGACTCTACATAAAACAAATCATAAGATTAGATGTTTGTATGAAACATGAAGGTGAAAGTTTGTATGAGTATGATAAGGAACTTCTATACAATCAACTAACCTGCACTCTACGTTCATCTGATTGGTTTTCCATATGAGTCAAAGAAGTATATGGTTTGTTTCCTATTTCTTCCTTACCACTCAACAACTGCAGCAGGAAGATAATTAAACATAAGGACCAAAAAAGTTTAAAACATAAAACTAAATTCTTTGCAACAATTAGAAATGTAACATATATCATTAAAATTCACAGAATAAAACCAAATCTATGAAATAGTATACACCATAAAGATAACTAAGTATATAACAAATCACTATGAAAACATTATTATGTGAGAGAGAAATTGTGTTTAAAGCGGTCAGCTAGAAAACTAGTTACTAGGATAGGATGTTAAGGCACAAATATTTTATCAATATTCTAAAATACCATATTTTTCGGTGGCAAAAGTCAACATTTTTAAGGGAACTTTCATCTTGTTTTAACATACATTTCTGTAAACAATGTGGGTTTTAAATCTTGCACAAAGCTACACAAGCTACTGGCTGTCCATAATTTAGCAGTGAAAGACCAGAGGGAAGGCAGCTAGCCATCTCCACCCACTGCCAACTCTTGGGCTACTCTTTTACCAACGAATAGTGGGATTGATTGTCACATTATAATGCCCCCATGGCTGAAAGAGCAAGGATGTTTGGTGGGATGGAGTTTTGAACCCTCAGATTGTGAGTCAAGCACCCTAACCACCTGGCCATGCCAGGCAAACAATGTGGGAGAATGTGAAAAACAAGGTTACAAACTGAGTTGTTATTCCAAACTAAAATGAATAAAATTTGGTATGAAACATTAACATCAACTTGATTTATCTATTGGATTTTATGTTCCTTTTTATTTTGTAACGGAAGGGGGGGGGGGAACTGAGTATATATTTAAAAGCAAGTTAATAGTTTCTGAAAGCAAACAATAATATCAACAGAGCTTAAATATATTGTGAGTTGTTCACCAACACACTGTAGCCATGGCAAAGTTTTATAACCCTTCTTTGGATCTGAGAATCAACATAAATAATAACTGATTATGAGGAAAACTTTAAGAAGAATACTTGTAATCATGTTCTCTTCACTGTACAAGTCCAAGATAACTATGTACAAAGGAAACACTGATTGTGGAATGAAACAGCTACATAATTCAACATGTGCTATTTTTGTGTTGAGCCAGAGTATCACGTACATGTTGTATAACCATCAGTCAAGCACGAAGCAGCACAACTTTTAAGCATTATGGAACATTCTCTTTTCACTCTACAGATATTTAACTAAATAAAATATTGTCCAGTTTTCCATCACTGTGAACTATATGAATGATACTCAAAAGTAAATATAAGAGTTAAGACAACTTCCACCTACCTTCCAGTGGTGTGGAACAGAAGATTTCTTGGTGGTTGGCTTTGCTGTTTCGCTGGCAGCTCTGTCTACCCGCCCATGACTAAGTTTTCTAACAGGATTTGATAACCATTTCCTTAAAAATGAAACAAAAACAAAATGTTAAGTAAGAAGTTGTGTGAGCTTTTATAAACATACTTTCACATCATAATAAAACAAAATCTACATGACCTACTTTCACACACAGCAAAACCTTTAAAAAAAGGTTACCAAATAAATAAAACATACAGCCCAATTTTAAAACTTACACAACATTAAAATATATTCTCATTATACCAACTGTTACACTAGTCATAAATCTTGAAACATAAAATAGTCAGTTTAAATACACTGTTTTATGTTTTATATTATGATACAATGCACCACAGAGAAGACAAAACAAAAAACAAAAAAACTGCTCCCACTGGTAAACACGTGTTCAGTCTCTATATCAGATACTACTGTATGGGTATTATGTGATGACAATACCTACACCAAATGTCTCTCTCTTTACCAATATAGCCAAATGTTACAACTGTCCACTAGGTGGTAGGTGAAGTTGTCACTATCTATTTTTTTTATAAACACATCAAGTGTTGAATAAACTCAGCCAGACTTGATCCATAAAGATATAGTCTGTAAAACAGATTTGTTGTCATGCTCTTTACATTTTACTTATTATATAATTTACATCATTTTAATTAGTTTTATCCAAGATAATAGTTTAAACCAAGAGTCAACAGAGCTATTTCAGCTAAGAGCTTGTATTTATTAAATTTTCTCATTCATGCTGATATAAAACATCATATCTGACACGATGCTGTTCAGTAGTTTCGGCATGTACAATGTTCTTGTCAATTCAGAAATGTTCCCTGTTCACCTTTTAACATTATCTGTTTAAGTGGCTCAGAGACAGCAGAATCTTTACTTTCACAAGTAACAAAAAACATTTTGAGAAGTATATAACTATCTCTAGCTTTTGTTATTTAGGTGGTATTTTTCTAATGTATGATTGAACACTTGACATTTTCTTTTAAATTTCTATACAAATTATGTAATAAATCCTACCAGAATACCTGCTAAAATTCTATATTAATAATAATTACAGTTTAAAATAAATAATCAACATGTATTTAATGGCTTCCACAGCAACTTGACTTGTTTAACACAGTATTATTGAATTTTGCTGAGTAGAGCATCTTATCATATTTTCATTACCATTGTTTTGGGGGTAATGAGAGTTTCAACAAAACTGGTGAAGTAACATTGCCTTATAAATCATTAAGATGATGAACGAGGATTATCAATGTATACATTTTGGATGAAAAGCAATTTATCAATGTATATAATTAAGGTATAGAGACTAGCTGAGAGAAAGCTGAAAATCATGGTTATTAATGTTCACGTTTAAGGCTAGGAGACACACAGAAAGAATACTGAGAAACGTGGCTTATTAATGCACAAATTTAAAGGGAAGATAATAGCAATGGGGAAGCTGGAAAACATGGTTTATTAAAGTACATTTTAAGGCAAAGAGGAAGCTGAAAATGCAGTTTTATTAATGTACACATTTAAGATACTAACAAAGGAATACTGAAAAACACAGTTTATTATTTACATGTTAAGGGCAAGAAGATTAGCAAAGGGAATACTGAAAAAAGTCTAATAATGTTCATATATATAAGGCGAGTAGCCTAGCAAAGTGGATATGGAGAAATACGGTTTATTAATGTACACTTTAAATCAAAAGGCAAACAAACTGATAACTCTGTCAAGTACATGAATAAAGTGGAGGATGTATCATATAAGATGCTGACACACAGGTTAAAAATATACTGTTATGACTACGGAAGTCATGTGATGCTGGTAACACGTGATGAGATTCTCAAAGGATCGTGAATTGTCCTGGCAACTCTAGTCTGTTCCAGGCACCATCTTTTTTAGTATATAAGCCCGGCAAATAAAGCGGAGAGAGGAATTGCATAGATAGAGAGATTGAAGATAGAGATAATCGAGTCAAGTCATAAGTAAAGTGTGTGAATCCCTGTGAATTATAGTATGTGTTTAAGTTAAACTGACTGTGGAAATTCTGTGTATTGCAAAGTTGTATTGAGAAAGAATAAACTAGTTTTATTTAAGAAAGGACTTGTATCACTGAAGTTCCTCAGAAAGAATTTATACAGGAAATTAACAAATGACCAGATACGCAACAATACATATCTACAGGACAAGGTCAAACTGAAAAATAAACATCACAGAAACTGTTGGCTTAAAACATAGAATTAACCACCTTAAGTTTTATGAGCATTATTTATAGTTTTAAGCCATATTTAGGATTATAACTTCAATATTATTAAGTTCACGTTCATTGATGTAACATGGTAATGGCTATTAATACAACACAAGAGGATGGCAGATGTAAACTTCAAGTCTACAGGGTTGTGTCATATCAGTGGTAATTCTCATTATGTTCATAACATTACAGACTAACCCATTACAGGTTATGTGTGTGTGTGTGTGTGTGTGAGACAACATCCATTTTTATTTCATGGTTTGGAGAAAACTTTGAGTAGAAATCATAAATAGTACATTAGTGTGTATAAAAAGAGAAGATAAAAAAAGATGTATAAATTACATGTATTCACTAAAAAAGCCTAGAGGGCACCATTAATCATTAAGTAAAATACTATACAGAAAAGCTATTTCACTCATGAAGTTTCAAGACATTATGCTGTCCATTGCACCATAACCAAGATTCAAAGCACATTCTGGTGGATACAACAGCTTCTGTTACCGTAACACAGTCCTGATGATGGTAACTGCATTACCAAAACTATTTCATTGTGCCAAAAAAATGTCATTTTTTGTGTTTTTACTCTAAACATGTACTTGTTGTGAAAAAGTTTGAATGTTACACCACATGCAAACAAAGCTTTAAGCTTCTTGTATATAATAATGCCAAAATTTTGACAGGCAGGTTTCTCCGAGTCCCAGCACCTGACATTTCTGGTAATTTGCTTCTATTAATTTACTGTTATAAGTATATAATATACAGTTATACAATCATGTATTAACCTACTTGATTATTAAATGTGTATAATAAACTATTAAAAGTCACTTGGCAAGTAGATGCATTTAATACAATTGTTGTCACATTCGTATGTATATTATATTGTTACTCATTAATCTGCTCTCATGTTTAACCTAAAGAGTGTGTTTATGTCTGCTTATGACTGGGGAACCACTGGACTTATTATCACCAAACCTAACACATACTTTTAGAGACCCCTATTATACTGACATCTTTGTACCTCTTCTTGTGTTGTCCTATGTCTATTATACTGTTACTCATTAATCCACTCTAGTGTTTAATCTAAAGAGTGTGTTTATGTCTGCTTATGACTGGGGAACCACTGGACTTATTATCACCAAATTTAACACATACCTTTAGAGACCCTATTATACTGACATCTTTGTACCTCTTCTTGTGTTGTCCTTTCAAAACTTAAAAGTAAATCACAAAGCAAGTAGAGATATTATTCTGACATCTGTGTACCTAATACTGTATTGTTCTTTAGACAAGTGAAATGCAGGGTATGTAGACGTATTATGGTGATATCTGTGTACTTGATACTGTGTCGTTCTTTAGACAAGTGAAATGCAGGGTATGTAGACGTATTATGGTGATATCTGTGTACTTGATACTGTGTCGTTCTTTAGACAAGCGAAATACAGGATATGTAGACTTATTATGGTGATATCTGTGTACTTGATCCTGTGTCGTTCTTTAGACAAGCGAAATGCAGGGTATGTAGACGTATTATGGTGATATCTGTGTACTTGATACTGTGTCGTTCTTTAGACAAGCGAAATACAGGATATGTAGACGTATTATGGTGGATATCTGTGTACTTAACAGTGTGTTGTTCTTTAAAACCTGAGAAGTAAGTCACAAAGCATGTACATAGATAGTACAGTCTTCATAACCTCACTATATTTCGAGTAGCAAAAGAAGTGTCAACCAACGTATCAAAGTCCAGACTGCAATTAACGCTAGAGATGGATCCACACCCTATTAAAATGGAGAACTAGGCGAAGCACAAGGAGTGCTAACTCGATACCTTTGGTGCCATATTGCGTATCTATCAACATATATAGTTACTAAGTTTGACTTCCATGCTGTTAACACTTGAAAATGAAGTCCTGAGAAAACAAACACTGATAAGCATTTCTTTACTTTATTGCTCAGCAGTATCTGACACACCGCATAACCGTTGGTGACGTTAAACATTTCACGAAGTACGTGTCACGTAAGAAACCAAAACCGTTTAAAGCTTTTCAGTGTCACACTCGTTAGAAATACTTACACCACTTTACAAATAAGAAGGGTTAGATATCAATAAATTAGTCTCTTCATAATAATCCACGCGTGCAAAGTAAGTAAATATTTTCAGGGATGGGGGAGAGCTATTGAAAACGGCTAGTTTATCGATAAGGGGATTCAACATTAACTAACGATCCTACACCCCCACATTAGTAAGATATATATCACACGTCCAACATTATTACGTTTCAACAGCAGAAGTTCCATTAGCATGCACGACTTGGAGAGAGTACACTCATTATAGCTGTTTGTTCATGAGCCGAATTTAACAATTTTGTATCGTAGGTATGATAATTGTGTGTTGTTTAACGATATCTCCACACATATACGTTTTCCAACAGGTATGTAAAGTCACCAAAAATAGAATTAGAAAATCAACAGCAAAGTTGGAATTTGTTCAAATTCTTCAATAATACAGGCAAGTCAATGACACGTAATTATAGTTGAAATACCTATCTATATATGCTCCTTACAATAGGCTTAATTACACAGAACATATATGTTTTCCTCTCTGGAATATTAACTTACCGAAACGGTCCTCGACGTTTATTTGCAGGAGAAACGGTGCTTGAAGGTAGGAGAAACGGAGGATTAGCAGTTGAAGGCGAGGCTTCACTAACTACCGGAACATCTAGGGAGGGAAAACAAAAACTGTCATCTCCTATTAAGATATTAACTTAGTTAATTTTACAACGTGATCTATGATACACGTGTAAATACAACCTATGAGAATTGTATTGGAAGATTGGAATAAAAACATCCACAGTACCTACCTATCTAAAGCGAGTGATTTCATTTCGTAAATAAATACAACAATGTTGTCGTATCCAAAGAAAAAACTGTAAAAACCTTTGTCAATATACTTTAAACAATGCTGTTAAATAGTTTTGAAGATTAGAGACGATAAGGTACTTGAAAAGCGCCTATCAACTGTTTGTCTTAGTAATCAACAAAACCATACTGTGATTTCAAAGTCATAAGTATTGATTCAGTGTTATGTTGTGAAATGTTATACCGTTTACTGTTCATTTGCATAATATAATCTGGCCAACTGTGAACTCTTCTTAGTCATCAGACATAGGAAATTTTCGATGTACAGATATGCCAAAATTTGGTCACTGGTAATTTATATCAGGCTTAGCAATTAAAACTATCACAAAGTAGTATAAAAGCCCGTCAAAAATGACAGGAAACCAAAGCTTACCGAATTTGAATCCTCCAACATGCATTTTGAACTTTGATGCTCATAAGTAGACACAAAAAATAATAATAATAAGGGGCCTTCTAGCTTCGGGAAACCAAATCTCATCATGAGCAATATGTGTCATGTTGTGAAATGTTTTATCAAACATATCTTACGCATCATATGAAGGTTATAAACTAGCACCATGACCAGCAAGGTCTATGACACACACTGTTTACTTGTGTGATAATAAGTTGGCAAACAACGATTTATAAGCATAATAAAATGATGTATTCTGAGGGGTAACATACTACATGTTTCGAGAGAACATTGGTGAAGAAGACAGACAAATGTTCTGGCAAAACATAAAGTAAGTTTCCCCCAAAATAGATCAGTTTATTATGTTTATAAACCGTTGTTTGCCAACTTATTATCATGTTAGCATAATGCTCTTTGTTATTCAAGTATTACTTATGTGATTTCATAATATCCCAAGAATTACCGATAGGTGTCCATGTGCACCCCATCGACTCTCTAAATATGTTTTTCGAAACTGTTTATGCACAGACTGCTTATAAAGTTATTACTTTGTTGGGTATAGGATCCTGATAACACATGAGCAACTCAGTTGCACAAAAACTTAAATAAATCACTATCTATACTCTTAACTCCACTAACTACTTATGGGATTCCCTGTCTATTTTTTGATTATTTATTTGCACTATTACTATAGCAGGCAAAACACAAACATCAAATTACTCAACGTAGCGAATGGTGTTAAACTAGTAGATTATTCGAGGGTTGAATCTTACACGACAGTGAGGCTAATTTCTTCTGGAACGTTAAATAGCTTCAATTGTTTTTCTCTAATAAAGGAGTATTAAGATGAGTGCATTTTTCAAAACTACACCAAAAATATTTGTACTTTGTGCCTTTTTATTATATTTAACAGCACAAGTTTTCTCACAGACTGATTCAGACCCTATCAGTGTTTTATTATTACGAAACACAGATAACTGTCTTGTGCCATGGGGAGTGCAGAAGAATTTGTTTTGACACCTTGGATGTCGGCAGTTATATTTTGCTTCTGACATATTAACAGAAACTACTAGGTTTAGTTATACTTTTGCAAAATTCTGGCCTAACAATACAACGTTCAATACAACCTAGAGAGAGGTTAAACATGTCGAGTTTTCTAAAAGTATATTAACGGCTTTGTGCTGCTCAACCTAAATTATTGTATTTACACATACACATATTGCTATACTGTTTCTAAGGGCAACAGCTATAAACACAAGTAAGGAGTACAGAGCAAGCAGCCCGGATATAGAGAGGTTAACCAATCACTGACGGCATAAGCTACATTCCATGTTCTTTTATTACGCAGTCAGTGCTTGTATGAAAACCATAAAAAACGTATGATGTTTTTAATAGTTGTTGTTGCAAATTTATGATTTTTCATTCGTTTACTGTTCATTTGCATAATATAATCTGGTCAACTGCGAACTCTTCTTAGACATCAAACATATGAAATTTTCGATGTACAGATATGCCAAAATTTGCCACTGGTAATTTATATCAGGCTTAGCAATTTAAAACTTTCACAAGGTAGTATAAAAGCCCGTAAAAAATGACAGGCAACCAAAGCTTACCGAATTTGAATCCTCCAATATGCATTTGCAACTTTGATGCCCGTAAACAGACATAAGAAAAACAATGGGGCTTCTAGATCCTGGAAACCAAATCCCATCATGAGCAAAATCTATTTTAACTATAAAGTGTCTCTTCCCAGCATTCACTGATCACAGTTATTTTCTAATTGCGTAACTGCGATAGTTCTCTTAAAACCAAATTTTTGTAAATACTCGATCATCGTTCAAAAACTTCTATTCATAACAAATTAACTTCACTCGGTGATAAATAATAAATCCTTGCTATAAAAACTCCCTTCCTACTTTTATATAGCAGAAAAAGTGTCGAAATTTAGGAGCTATTTATGCCTATGTTAGCAATTGAATTCAACTAAAATGGGAACAGGCAATGAAAAGAGGAAGTATTATAGGCGAAAAAGTGGAATTGGACTCGTGTAACTTAGCTTTTATGATTCTTATGAAATAAGTAAAAACCACGTAAGCCAACAGCTTTACTTAAAGCTGATGAACTTAGTACCAAAAGGCCAATCTGACTTTATTTTACGAACCAACAAAACCACCTCAGATTGCGATAATTCTGTACCATAGGCATTTAAAGTAAACATAATACAGACACTCCACATCTGCTGTAATATAACACATATGTTTCACAGAACATATTATATAACCCATAACACAGTTATTTACCACTGTATACAAAACACACCTCCACACCTGCTATACCACCACACAGATGTCTTCCAGAAGATATTATGGAACCCACAACACAGTTATTTACCACTGTATACAAAACACACCTCCACACCTGCTATACCACCACACAGATGTCTTCCAGAAGATATTATGGAACCCACAGAACAGATACTTAGTACTCTATAGAAAATACACAAATCGTTTACTTCTGATGCATCACAAAACAGTACAGTTATGCTGTATCTAGGCCACAACTCTACATTAGAATAATACAGTACAGGTATGCTGTATCTGGGCCACAACTCTACATTAGAATCGTACAGTACAGGTATGCTGTATCTGGGCCACAACTCTACATTAGAATCGTACAGTACAGGTATGCTGTATCTGGGCCACAACTCTACATTAG